GAGTGAAGGCCGTACAATAGCCAAGGTAGTTCCCCAAACAATGGAACTATAGCACTCACGATCAACGTGGTATGTCCTAAGCTATTACGGCAAACTGCCCGGCAAAGCTGAAGCCGTCTCTCGGTCTGCTGATACAAACGTTAGACAGACGGGTTCCTTTAATTTGGGCAACAAAGACTGTCAAAGACATGCAGCTAGCACTTCATCCTGGGCTGCTAAATCAGACAAAAATCCCGAGATTTCTGGGAGCCCTTCTTTCACTGTTTTCATTTAAAGCAATTCACTGCTGGTTTTGAAAGTCTGACGACACCTTTTGTTTATTCTCAAATGCTGATGGACATGAACTAGGAAAACCATTGATGCAGCGTTAGCTGAACCTGCAAAAGAAGCATATTCCTCCGTGCAGTCCTGTTTCTTTTGAGAGCTGATACCAAGAGCGTACAGCTGCTCTAAGGGAAATGCTCACATTTACTACTTGCGCACAAGGAGAATGAAGTACACGAGAAGGAGATAAAATTCAATACTGCATGCATGTAGAGTCCCTCTGACCTTCTGCAAGGTATTTAACATTTATATCTTTGTTTCCCGGAAGGCAGAAGACTCTTTACTTCCAGACGGAGGGTCAGTTTGCCACATTTCCAAAATGCCCCCCCAAACCCACTCTGTAGGATTCTGCGGCCCACGCTTCCTATAGAACTCGAGGCCAACACTTTTTTAGGGTTTCTACTGATAGTACGAAGCTTACTTACGGCAGGGATGCTTTACCGTAACTCTTTCTTGACTAAGGGCAAGATTTCCGTCTTCACCTTCAAAAGACTCTCACAGCAGCCGTGCTTAAGTGAAGACTGGAAGGTTTGTTTTACAAATGTTGGTATAGTTCATTGCGCAACTTCCTCCCACGTTTGTTTGATTAGATCTAAGAAAAGTGTAAGGACATGGATGCAAGAATGAATGCTTTTACATGACGCTACATAGCTCATGACCTTAGGTCCCAAGAAAGCAGTCAGCTGTCACAAGTGCCCCGGTGTGAACACTGCTTCTAAACCCCATTTAATCCGTAAATGGCTTTGTGGCTGAAAAGTTCTCTCTTGTGCCGTCAGCTTTTGTAGTCCTTTGATGGCAAAGCACTGAGAGACAAGAAAGCGGCTGTGTGATACTGGTGGCACTTGGGCTTGGCTGCTTGGTGGGATTTACAGCTTCCAAGCTTGCTTCTGAAATTCACCACCGTATCCGCTGAATTGCAATGATTTCAGGGCTCAAATGAACTCAATGAGGCGCTGCTTAAACGCATAAATGAGGCCAAGAAGATCCATCTGGTCCCGTGCCACCTGCGAGAGAAGTTTGTGCTACGTTTTGCTATTTGTTCCCGCACAGTGGAAGCCACCCACGTCAAGTTTGCCTGGCAGCACATCTCACAGCTGGCGACCGATCTTCTGAAAGCATGGGAGCACCAGCAGTAACAGCAGTGGAGCGGCAGCAATTAGCTGGCTTTCTCTGGGTTGCCAAGTTTTATTTTAGGGGCGGGCAGGTGGGAAAGTCAAATCACGAAGGAAAAAAAATACAAACCCTGTTGTTATATAGCCCAGCTGCAGTAGCAAAATCCTTGCCAGCAAGTTGTGTTGTAACCTTAGTCATTCCTTCTCTGTTCTGTAGTTGCATCTTGCCATGGCACACAGCCACGGGGGCTCCAGCTGTCCTTTCTTACCCGTTCGTAATCGAGAGCATTTATTGAACCAGGCAATGGAAGTGGAAGGGTTCGTGCTCCCTCCGTTGTCCCCATTAACCTCTAGCACACCCACCCCTTTCGCCACCGGTGAAACCGTGAGGTGTTATAACCCATTCATTTCACCTTGCCATGACTTCAGAACGAGCCCCAGCTGGGGCAACTTCAGTAGCCTGGTTGTAGCACCGTTCAGGTCCCATCTAAGCAGGCAGGCGCAAACGCTGTTGCCACGGTCTGGGGCACTACCGTGTCGTGGCACGCGTGCTGCAGGAATTTGGTCAATGAAGTCAGGGCTTCGAGACTTCCCTCATCGCACAGCCAGGTCGGGGGGAGTGAGCGCTAAATGAGCGCTAACCGTCCTTCTGGCAGGCTCTCTGCTTTCTTCTAAAGGGTTTGCTTTTAAAACAGCCCTTTTGTCAAATCTCAGCAAATAGCTTATGCGGGCTATAGGCTTTCACTTTGATCGTTCATAATGAGGCCTCTTAAAAGCTCCTTCTTAAGAGCTTTGTCAAAAGCCACGTGCTACCTGGTACTGCATATTTTTAACCAAGTTGTTATTATAAGCAGTGATTACTTGAAAACAACCTGTAAGCTAGGTTCTGTGAAAGAGAGATGCGATTTCTTTTCCTGGCTACCATTCTGCTTACTTCCTTGTGTCATAAGCCTTTGACAAAATGTGCTCAGAAATGTGACGGCAAAAACGCTGCTCTTTGTTTCTCAAATTAGCTAACATGCAACAAATTACAATTAAAATAGAAACGAAGAGAAATAACCCCCAAAATATGCTGAGGGGCCCCCCCAGCCGTGGTTTTCTTCCCTTAGCAGTGATGCATGGCATATGAAAATATTGGAAGCCAATTAACCTTCAGAGAAAGTCAAATAACGCGTACGTGACACAAGCCATTGATGTGTCATCCTGTCGAAGGCAGGTCAAGAGGCAAAATGACAGTCAGAAGCAATATCTGCCTTTAATTAAAGCACCTCTGCCATTTTGAAAACATAAATTCCAGACAGTTATTTCTATGTAAATAAGAACAAAGCAAATAGCTACTCCAACAAAAATAATCTGTAGGATCCACTTCTACACTTGCATTTCTTGTAAGCTCTTCCTTTTCCTGCTCATATTAACTCTAAAGCACCTTGGACAACTTGCACAATCATTCAGCTTTCTTCCGCCGTCCCTTGCAAGCGTACTTCCTACATTTGGGAAGCTGCAAGGAGACCATCAAACGTGCAGTTTCATGAAATTAAGCTTATAGCTCATAGAGTAAATCCAGGAAAATTCCCCTGCAACGAAGTGGAGTTGCTGTGGGCTGATGTGACTATAACTGAGATTAAAATCTAGCTAATAAGTACTGGAAAAGAAATGCATGAGGTAAGGCAACACCAGACTGAACATCGGAGGATTTTGGTGGAAAGCCTCTCCGTGGAAACCAGAGCAGAGGTGGATGATGCACGCCTGCGGGAGCCTCACCCTGCTGTAGAACAGGGACGCGGGCAGGACGCGCATCCAAACCCAGGAGGGGTGAAATGTTCCCAGCAGCCCAGAATTAGACACAGGTCCCCTCGAGGCATTTGTGGGAAAACATTGCCAAAACTGACAGGCAATTAAACGTTTTTCAGCGTATGGGCATCAGTTTTAGAAGCGGCTGTTGTCCAGACACCAAAGCTCCTTTTGGCAAAGAATTTAGGATCAGGGTTGATTTAAAATACTGTAAATGCAGTAAAAGTTACTTCATTTTTGGTTTCAAAGAAGGGACGTAAGTAAGTCTTCTAATAAACAGCAGCGACAAGACCCACGGCATTACATTTCCCCATGGCCAGCCCAATACAGAAATCGGAAATTCACAGCTCTAGATTTTCTGAAATTCTGGGATGACTTGAAGATGTAGTTGGTGAAGGCCGCCTTAGTATTCAGTCTCTCATACCCTCTTTTCCCCACGTGGTAATTCCTTCGTAGAGTATTAACGCTAAATCTGGGCTATGTAATCAACTCAAGAACAAAAGTGCTGAACAGAACATTTTTGAAAGAAGAACATAACTGCGGTTTCTGTTCTGTAGCTTTCCAACGTATCTGTAAGTGGGAAATACTGTATTTATGAATAGTTAATATGTGAACCTGGATTTATTGTGCCTTGTGTGCAAAAGCTAATACAGTCTGTGCCGAATAATACTGTTCGATGTGAAAAATATTTACAAAATCTCCCAATTGTACTTTAGTAGAATATCCGCATCTCCAAGGAGACAGCACGGCTACTAGAGAAGGAGGGAAAAAGTAACTTTTCAGTAACCATACATATTTTTTTTAAATGAGTGCTAGTGCAATACCTACGTTCTTAATAATAATGACAGATTATAAATATATTTTATTAATGATGGTGAAATATTGACAAGATATGTATTTATGAAAGTGTTGCTAATACATTTGTGCTGGTTTTGGCTGAGATGGAGTTCATTTTCTTCACAGTAGCTACCATGGGGCTATGTTTTGGATTTGTGCTGAAAACAGTGGTAGTAACAGTGTTGATAATCAGGGATATTTTAGTTACTGCTGAGCGGGGCTATGCCATACCATATGACGTCATGCTCAGCATATAAACCTGGGGGAAGAAGAAAGAAGGGGGGGATGTTCAGAGTGATGGCGTTTGTCTTCCTAAGTCACCGTTACGCATGATGGAGCCCTGCTTTCCTGGGGATGGCTGAACACCTGCCTGCCCATGGGAAGCAGTGAATGAATTCCTTGCTTTGCTTTGCTTGGGCACGCGGCTTTTGCTTTACCTATTAAACTGTCTTTATCTCAACCCACGAGTTTTCTCACTTTTACTCTTCTGATTCTCTCCCCCATCCCACCCCCAGGGGGAGTGAGTGAGTGAGCAGCTGTGTGGTACTTAGCTGTCTGCCAGGTTAAACCACAACAATATTATACTCTGAACTGCATTAGAATTATTAAATTTCTAATTTTCTCTTGCTTTTAAATATAACATTATCCTCATGGTTGTTGGTTGTTTTGTTGTTGTTGTGTCCTGTAAGGATACCATATCTGATGAGTAGTACTCACATTGCAGTTGCCTTACAACAGCAGTCTAAACCTTGAGACGTGCGTAAACTTGAATTGCTCAAACAGAGGAGCAAATGAGAAATAAAACTGAGAACCCTGAAAATCAGGGTGGTGGGGGCAGATTAAAGAATAATAATAATAATAATAATAGTAATAATTACAATATCTATGTAGCATGTGTAGAGCCAAATGGAAAAATAATCAGATGCTTAGTGCTTTTTTATTATGATTTGTGAGCTGTCGAGTTCCTTTAAAATCTGTATCCAAAGCCTGTTAAACAGACATGTAGGCTTTAATTGGCAGCGTTAATAAATGGAAACAAAACTATTGACTATTGTCTGTCTGTGCTATTAAGCAAGCTTTTCCCGTTTTATTCATGCCAGACGCGTTGTAAGGGGTCCAACTTCCCCACTCAGGTCCCGTCAGTGCCCTGCTTTTCACCATCGGTGACTTGCTCTCAATGTGTTCTTCGAACAAGTTGCTTTGCCGATGAGCGTTCCTGCGGGAAGTTTCCTCCTCAGCAACACGAGTCTGAAAAACGCCCGGCCATAACCGGGGTCGACGCCGACTCTTCCGCAAAGTTCTGCACGGTCCTGCAGCTGTGTCTGCCGCTGGAGCCAGCCGCCCAGCTTCGGCTTTGGTTTGCGGCTCGGGCGCAATCCGGGCGGACAAGGCAGCGGCCCGTTTCATTCGCCCTGCGGCCCGTTTCTTTAGCCCTGCCTCGCTGCAGCCTCTGTTCCCGAGGGGGGCTTGCAGCTGCAGGCTCCTTCGCTCCCTGCCCCTGTGCAGCCCGAGGGAAATCGGGCAGGCACGCCCCGGGGGAAGGCTGATGGCAGCAGTGTTGCCAACTATAAATGTTAGCCCAATTCGGTCTCAGATGATAGCTTGCGTAGTAGCGTAGACAGTTTAATACGCTGTCTGCACTAACGGTGTAACAAGCTTGACGTATAACAAAAGCCTGACAGTAACTGTAAGGAATGTTTCTCACGGGAAATTAAATGCTCGCCCACACAGACGTGACTATGTTAATGCCAGAGGTTTAACTGCAGCACCGTGGCCAATTTGCATCTAGGTTGGTGCGCTAATTTCAAAGTGGGTTGCCGTGATCCTGTGCTCCTCCAGCCTCCTCCAAACTGAGTGACGGGCATCCAGAGGGCCTTCTCGCCGAAAGGAGAGACACAAACAGCGGGGCATGCTGACGGGAGGTGGCCACCCTGCTGTTTCAGGCAGCCGCCGAGCTCGACATGGGAGGAGCCGCAGCACTTTGGCTCCTGCAGCCACCGAACACACGTAAATGCCAGGGCACGCCTCCTCTGCCTCTCAGGAAGGGTTCTTCTCCGTGTTTCCCGTTTAAACACTCTCAGAATCATAGAATCGTTTGGGTTGGAAAAGACCTTTAAGATCATCAAGTCCAACCGTTAACCTAGCACTGCCAAGTCCACCGCTAAACCATGTCCCTAAGCACCACATCTACTCGTCTTTTAAATACCTCCAGGGACAGGGACTCAGTCACTTCCCTGGGCAGCCTGTTCCAGTGCCTGACTACCCTTTCGGTGAAGAAACTTTTCCTAGTATCCAATCTAAACCTCCCCTGGCGCAACTTGAGGCCGTTTCCTCTTGTCCTATCACTTGTTACTTGGGAGGAGAGACCGACCCCCACCTCGCTACAGCCTCCTTTCAGGTAGTTGTAGAGAGCAATAAGGTCTCCCCTCAGCCTCCTCTTCTCCAGGCTAAACAACCTCAGTTCCCTCAGCCACTCCTCATAAGACATGTGCTCCAGACCCTTCACCAGCTTCGTTGCCCTCCTCTGGACACGCTCCAGCACCTCAATGTCCTTCTTGGAGTGAGGGGCCCAAAACTGAACACAGTACTCGAG